AATAAATAAATAAATAAATAAATCTATGCGGACCTTTGTCATCAAGGAGATTCAGAACTAGTAATCACCTCAGAATCCCATTGTTCTGCAGTGGGTGGGATCACATCCTACCAAAGGTTGGGCAAGCATACTATACAACAGGTGATACACAACAGGTGGCAGACATGATTAACCAGAGGTTGAGTGCAGATGTACTTCTTTTTGTCTTCCAGAATATTCCACTATTTAGCTTCACTGGATGATATCAGGTTTTAGGATTATATCAGAAAGAAAAATTATTCATAGCTGTTTCCCCACATTTCACTTGGTGTTTTGCACTTATTTCATGTTCCCTTTACTTACCTTTTTTTGTATGTTAAAAAGCACAATATTATAAAATAATGGCCAGAACCTTGTTGGTGTAAGTTATACTGCAGAACTCCAGTGACCTCATGAGCCACAATCATGTCACATAGTCATTTGGCAGGAATTAAAATTTCCTATTCCTTCCTGAGGTTCTGGGGATCCCTAGCAATTTAATTCATCTTGGGAGGCTTATGGAAGCCACAGAATGGGGAAAAGAATGATTTAAATCCAGAAAATTGCCACTGTAGAGCAGATACTCCAGGGAAAAAATGTTTCTCCTCTTCTGCATTTTTTTACAGCTCCAAAACATCATTTTTCAGATGCAGTGACTAGATAGGTACATAGTATTCGAAGTTACACCACATCTTTGTAGAAAGTTATTATAGTGTTGGAAGTTTTGTTTTCAGTTTCTTTCACAGAGGTCTCCAACCTTTTCCTACAACAGCCACATACTGGACTAACATTTTCACCAAGCTACCCACCACAGTTCCAAGGCTGCTTTACTGATCAGTCATCAGTATCTCAAAACCTAACAACATATTTGTGAACTCAGGGAATGTTCACACACACCAGATACTGAATATTTTCATAGATTTATTTTGTTTTCATGTTTTAGAGGTTTTGACAACATTTATCTCCCCAGTGTGTTGCATTCAAGCACACACAATGCAGAGAATGAATAAAAAGGACTAAGGCTCACAATGAACAAGAAAAAAGGGATAAAACTCAGGAAAGTCCATTAGCATGTGCTGTTAGGAGAAAAGTTATCCCTCATTCAGCAAAAGTTCCATCTCCTAACATTGCAGAAAGCCAATTCCCCTTTCATGTCTTTATGAGTTTCCCTCCCCAACAAAATACTAGAAAACAGCCTCACAACCATAAATCAGTCTGCTTCTCCTGTGATTTCCTTCCAAAATTTGGTGGGGATTTCCTCAGCGAGGGAAAACACAGAGCTGATAGGGTCGAGGGACATTGCCCACACTACTAAACAGTGGAGACAGATCAATGTTCTCTCTAGAGATAGCGGATTTCAGTGTAAAGTTCTGCAGTATAGTGGTGAAAAACAGGAAGAGTTCTGCTCTGGCCAAACCTTCACCCACGCAGATCCGTTTTCCTGCAAGTGAAAGCCACATGATAAGGTAAGGTAAAGTAAGGTAAAGGGTTATTGGAGTCTAATTCTCAGTGAATATGCATGAGGTACCATTGCACTTAGAAAACAAAGGTTACACCACCACACATTGCTAAAGACCTTAGTCAGTTTTAGCTTGATCTGTGTTTCTTAATAGCTCAATTGCTTAACAGCCATGAAAAACTAATTTTGGAGTTGAGCTTTGTTCACTCTCTAGTACTTTAGACTGCATCGTATGTTACCAATTGAGGTCACACATCACATTATAATGGAAATAATTATTTGAGTTTGTCCGTAGCAGACAACATGTCATGGCTTTACAAAATGTGCACAACATGTGAACTTGGTGAAAGATATATACAGTGGTGCCTCACATTATGATTGCCCTGCATTACAATGAAACCACATTACAACAACGTTTTTGCGATCGCAAAACGATGATCTAAATGGGCTTGTTTTGCTTTGCGATGATTGGTTCAGTGCTTCGGGAACCGATTTTTCGCAAAACGATGATTTTTCTACAACTGATCGGTGGTTTCAAAATGGCCACCAGGTAAATAAAATGACTCCCCGGTGTTTTCTGGGACAGATTCCTCACAAGACAGCCACCGCAAATGGCCGCCCTATGGAGGATCTTTGCTGGACAGTGAGTTTCCAGCCCACTGGAACGCATTTAAGAGGTTTCAATGTGTTTCAATGGGCTTTTTATTTTCGCATTACAATGTTTTCGTTCTACAGCGATTTTGCTGGAACGAATTATTTATTTTATTTTATTTATTTCAGCCGCACCATTGCATCGTAATGCAAGGCAGCACTGTATCTGAAAGATAATTTTAGCAGATGGTATAAAACAACAATAGGCAATGTTCCATCTGTGTTGTTTTCTGGCCAGCCTGCAAAGGGCCCACATAATTATGACAGCTGAAGACCGTCTCCTGGAAGCGCCCTTCCCTCTTCAGTGTTCCATGTGTCAGAATCAGTGTGGTACTACTACCATGAACTGCAGCTGGAAGCAGGGGACACATAATTCATTACCCCAGTACCAAGAATACTGTAATTAGCCTGATCAGCCTTCTCTGGGATGCTGCAAAGTTGGGCAGGAGATGACATTACCTGCTGAGAAAGGCATGAAGTAGTCACTTTTCTTGAATGTGCCATCCTCATTCAAGAAATGGTTTGGGTCAAATTCTTGAGGGTTGGGAAATTCTTTGTTGTTGTATAGCACCGACGTTAGAACAAAATATACAGTAGTGCCCTGCATAGAATAAAGTAGTAGTTAAGCTATTACTTTGTCTGGAAAGGGTGGGATCAGAAGCCTCACTCAGTTTTCAAGTTAAGTGGTGGTTTTGAAAATGTTATCCAACTATATGCAATAAAAGAAACTGCATGAACTCTGATCAACCATTTTGGGTTTTTTAATTGTTCAGTTCCCTGGGAACAGATAATATTTAGCCAGTCAGGCAATGCAAACAAGCACATCTCGAGTACTGAATGGTTCTGTCTGATGCTTGGTCAATCATTCATTCCCTGTTTGGCTGCTGGTTCTCTCCTCTTTCTGCTCAGTTTTCATACTGTACTATGAGGAGCACCACCAGAATCATCATTATGTCACCTGATGTGGCTCAATTCTCCTAGTGAAGGTGGGTGGAGCTTCATAACTGCTTCTTGATGAATGACATTAAATCTACCTCAGTTCTCAAAAACAACTTCTGCCTTCTTAAGTGCTTCTCAGTACTAAGTATGTTCTTTGCCTAGTATCAGTAGCACTTTGTCCATCAGAAACTTAGTAAGCCTTTTTGGAGCTATTAATATTTTCATATCCCTTATATCAATTTCCCTTGGGTTGGCATAAAGCAGGACCAGGTGGTTTACACTATTGGCTTGACTTTCTCTGAGCCCAATGCACAAACGCTGCGAACCACAATCTGCTTCTTTTTTATAACAACAACCTTTGAACTGCAGATTTGGAAGGGACCCTATGTATCATTGAGTCCAGACCCTTTCAGGGAGGCACAGTGGAGAATTGAACTCCCAATCTGAGTTAAACACGGAGCTATCCAGCAGTTCTTAAATGAACAGAATTGAAAACAACTAATCTATTCTACTTATATAGGGTGCTTAACTTTGAAGAATAAAGGGTATGTAAGAAAGAATGTAAGACTTAAGACAAGTATTAAAACTTCATAATGAATTTGTTAATTGAAATTAATCATCATGGCCAGAATTCTGTTAGTGATTTACACGTAAGTTAGTAATATTGTGTAATTCACCATAGCAAAACTGCTGACAATTAAAAAGACATTGGTTGCATTACTGGGTATTTGCATGCCACATAGCCAAATACAGAGCTTGTAAATCAATTGGCACCTCATGAATAAATAGTGTTTTTGTTTGTTGTAGCAAGTTACACAATTTTCTTACACACACATAAATCACCAACAGTATTTTGGCCATTACATATTGTTACAACTGAAACAGGAGCTTAGTGAAAAATATAAACCAACAACACACTGCACATGTATATAACAGGAAGAATATGTATCCTATGCCTATATTGGGAAAATGAGTATAAGTAAGAAATATATACAGCAGGGAAAACACATACAGTAAGAAAACAGTACATTAAAATACTTAATATTAGGGGGAAATGTACAAAATCTAATGCATGTATTTGTAGGCAATTTTTCCACAAATTTGAACAAAGACTTGCACCATAAATATGGAAACATACAAAACTGAAGTATAATTTTTCCCAATTTCCGTATCTGTTTCTTATTCCAAATTATTTTGGTTCATTTTTGAATGTGATCCAAATGGATTTCTCTTTGGTTGTTGTAGGTTTTCCGGGCTGTCTGGCTGGGTTCTTGAGGTTTTTTCTTCCTAACGTTTCACCAGTCTCTGTGGCCAGCATCTTGAGAGGACAGGAGTTAGAACTCTGTCTGTGTTCAGTGCTGGGAGCCAGGCTTGGTTCAGTTTTAGATTTTCTAAACTTTTTTTGAAAGTGGGAACTGGGAGCCAGGCTTTGAAACTCAATAAAGCCTGGCTCCTAGCACTGAAAAATACAGCCTGCAAAAGGTCAACAAACTCTACTCAGCCACAAGGACCAGTGATCACTGCACACAAAAGATCAGCTAATGACATTGATCAATCACAGTGACAGATCATGATTCACCTTTATCACAACAATTCACCCACAACAAAAAACACCATAAGGACAAAAGCTGATCCCACAGCTATAAATACTCCACTATCCCACAGAGTGCACCAGAGCACAGAGTTCTGACTTCTGTCCTCTGAAGATGCTGGCCACAGAGACTGGCAAAACGTTAGGAAGAAAAATCTCAAGAACACGGCCAGACAGCCTGAAAAACCATCGGATCCCGGCTGTGGAAGCCTTCAAGAATACATTGGATTTCTCTTTCATCACTACAACAATGAGCAGCCATTTCTAAGGAAGGGTGGCCATTTGTCTGAACTTGCTGATATAACATCATGCTTCAGTTAAACAATGGTTCCTACAGAAGTCACATGACACACAGGTGCTCTAATTGGTGATCTATCAGAGTCACCAATTAGAGATCACCACACTTTAAAGAAACTGATCCTCATAGTGGATCCATCCTAGATCAATATCCTTGTTTGTCCCCAAAATCAAATTGTAGAAGTGGAGAGAACTAACCTTTGGAATTACATATTGTTGAAATGGAGTGTCTTTGATGACTGCATGAGGGGCAGCCAGTGGGGCAAGAGAGATGAATCTCTGGATCTCATGAACAACAGCATCTGTATAAGGCATCTGTCCCCGATCTGCCAGGCAAGGTCTCCGTGTTCGTCCAATCACTTGATCAATCTCTTTATGTACTTTCTCTGGGATGGGATAAAAGAAAATTTATCAGCGTTGAGGAAAAATCACAGATATCATTTCAACTTGACTCTAGGATATCCGAGATATTGATTTCTTCTGTGTGAGCCCTCCAAGAATCTGGGATCATCAACAGAACTTCTGTTGTGCTTTCTGCCACTCTGAGAGGTCTTTTTCTATAGCAGCATTTTGGTTGTGGAATGTCACAAAGTTCAGGCTGATTCCATCTTTACTGAGCTCTTACAAAGCATCAGAATTTTATTGTGAGTTGTTTCTGGCTCATTTTTTAAAATAGTTCTAAACATGGCTTTTAACATTAGAACTTACTGTATGTATCAGTCATAATCAACCTGATGGTACATAATTATTATTTTGTGGCTGTTGTGGGTTTTTCAGGCTCTTTGGCCATGTTGGAAGAACAACCTTCAGAACACGGCCAAAGAGCCCAAAAAACCCACAACAACCATTAGATCCTGGCCATGAAAGCCTTCGCAAATACAATTATTATTTTATGTTTGCATCAATGTTAGGAGAGTATGAGTACATTCCAACCCAATCTGTATCCAAATATTTGTTGTACAGATCAGAACAAGCCTGATCCAGGTTGTTTTGGATGTGGCCTGAACCAATTTGTTTTCAGGTTCATGCAGGTAGTTGTATGTTTCTGTATCAGCAGTTAAACAACAACAGCAAATCTAGAAATGAGCAAAAACAAAGGGCTGTACCTCAGGAACAGGAGCTCCATACACGTAACATCATCAATTTTGGGATGTGCTATACCTTAAAAAGGGGGTTCAGTGTGCTTACATTTCAGATTAATGCACTTTTTCAAGTGTGGGGAGAGTTTCCTCCAAAAGACCATTTTGTACTGGCAAATCTGCTAGAGCTCTTAAACTGGCAGCAGTGCTTGGCAGAGAATCCAGAGATGAACATGCTGTGTAGGTGATTCTCCCAACTGGTGTTGTAATATACATAGACAGAGAAGACACCAAAAGGATTTTGTTCCCAGTGACAGGGGTTATTATGTAACCCCTATAAACAGGAAATCTCAAAGCTTGTAGTGACTACAGAGCAATAAGTTTAATGAGTCATTTTATTCTGATTTTCTTTAAAATAATCCATAGCAGAGTTCACAAGAAGTGGGAAAAAGTGGTGAGAGACATACAGTTTGGATTCAGAAGAGCATTTAGAACTGGGAAACACTCTTCTATGCACACGTACGGAGGGGGGGATGTTTCATGAAATTACTAAGGGACTTGGACCTCTTCTTGTTGACTATGTGAAACCCTTTGACAGTGCCTACATGGTGTGCTGAAAGACCTATTGCAAATAAAGACCTTGATTCAAGGGTTATTTGTATGGCAAGTAAAATGCAAAGTATCGAATTGACCAAAAAAGAGAGAAAAGCTTTAAAAGTTGCAGGTCAGTAGACAAAGGATTTAGAGATATGAAGAGGAAAACAGCAAGGGTACACACTTTACAGCACTGCCTTTTAAATTTTGCTCTAAAAACAGTTTTAGAGAAGCACTAAATTGCAGCATCATTGTTGACAGAGAGGTAATCAATAACATTTGACATACATATGACACAGTATGATCAACAAACAATTTATATGGTCTGCAAAAGTTCAAGGTGCAATCCTTCAAGGTGCAGGAATGGGCATGTGTGACTCCCAAACTTTTGGAAGTTGTCAAGTCCAGATCTACTGTATAGTTTGGATTAACAGACTTCACCCTAGTCAATTGTAAAAATAAATAAACTGAAAAGAAATGTGGATTCATAGTATGATGCTAAGAATGTATTCAAGTGAGAGAAAAATTGAAGAGTACTGAAATGAATGGCAAAAAGCTTTTTGTGGAATCATAAAATATAACATGCAGAAAGCTACGTGTAGTTGGTCACATAATAAGAAATGAAAAATGCAGATCGTAACAGCTGATCATTCCAATTAAAATAATTTGGGAAAGAAATGCAGGAAAGAAAAAAACTTTTAGCTTAAAAAAAAACACCCTGGAGGCTAACTCTTTAGAGAAAAATCATGTTTTCTCCTCATAACAAGATTTCTCTGCAGGAGGTCCCCTTGAAAAGAAGCCTTGAGAGTTACCCTATGGGATTTCTCAGAATTTTTGTGGTTATTTGGGGGGGGGCATAAATGCAAAGCCACGTATGATGATTATAGTTCTTCTGTAGATTGATATATTTCCTAAGCAGAAATAACCCGGAAAGGACAGAGAAACAGCAAGCTGTGCAAGACGGTTCCT